CGATATTCGTCCAGTGATTCTCTCTTGACCCTAGATCAGTTACCAAATATTTCCCCGATCACTTTCAACTACTCACTCGTTCCACGGTGTGATGTGACACGAGAAACAAATTTACCGGCCCGCTCGTATCGAGTTAGATAAGAACGTTTTCCATAAAGTCATTCTATCAACCATCAAAATTCGTGCGTTATAACCTTCCGCATACACATAGCATTTGCGGGCATTTTTCGAGTCGCGCGCAAGCAAACACTTCGCCTGTACAAAAACCTCGACTCTTCTAAATATAAAACGGTCGAAGCTGAATCACGCTCGCTTCACGGATCGCTTCACCACGTGTCGTCCCTTTCCCGTCCTCCCGATCGTACCTTCGACCATTGGTACGGTAAACACGAGAGTTCGATCAAAAATGGATTATCCGTGAAGCGGCCAACGTCTCGAGAATAAGGCACGCGAGTGCGGCGAGCCGGCGATGCACCGTCTACAGTGTTGATAGGAAGAGGAAGAAGATACGACTGAAGGTGCTCCGCGATGTTGAAGGCGCATTCACCTTGGTTCCACGCACCTGTGTACACGCGTGAGCGAATCTGCTCTCTCTCTCTTTCTCTCTCTCTCTCTCTCTCTCTCTCTCTGCCTACGTCCATGACGCGTGGACGCTTGCAACCATTCCGATTCGTGTCCATGCAAATTTTACGCTTATCCCGAGAATGACCACCCGAGTTTCACCGCGAGCGGAATCCTCGGCCTTGATCTTCGCGGGTCACGATCGCGACTCGAGCGATGTCGTTTGTTCCTCGCAACCGGTTCCAAATGGCAGAAAACGTAAAAATGCATCGACATTCATGTTACCCTCGCTGGTATTCGAAACTCGGGGATTTTTAACATTCGAAGGACCGTAAATGATTGGATCTTTCATTTCTGCGCTTTGCGACAATTTTTAAAGATATTTTTCAAGATTAGGGGATATCTAAACAGTAATAATTAAGATTGATTTACGAATGGATAAAATGAGATAAGATTTTCTTGAAATATAGTTATTTTTTGAAATATTAGTTATTTGATATCATAATTGATAACGATAATTTCAAAAATTCATAGTAACACAATCTAAAAATAATATAATGAAAAGTATTTATTAGAATCGGCGCCATTTGTTATCTTGCGTTCTATTTAATGATTGCGTATTTACGATCCTATGATATATTTTTTTTCTAAGAATTCATCTCAATTTAATCTAAATTTTTACCGTATTTCGAATCAAATTTATTTATGATGTTAATATTAATATTCTAAACATTATTCTAAAAAACGGAATTTTATTGGTGTTTATTTAGATAATTTAATGATAAATAAATCATCATTGATACAAATGATAGCGTAGATAAAATCAAGGCTTGCTTCGAGTTCTTTATCAAAAAATGGTACTGAAAAATGGCGAGAAATAGTTTTATCATTAATATATTCGTTTTAAATTACTGGAAATCACGCATGCTTATGATTAAAATTTCAACGATTTCCCACAACTATACATCACGAAGATCTCGGAACATAGAAATCTTGCACGCATGTACACCATTTGAATAGGAGAAAAGGAGAGAGCGTGTGCAGAAAAGGATAATTAAGCTTATCGGAAGAAGACTAAACCGACGGACGCAACTTTAAATAACTCCGAACGCAATTAAAACGCCGTTAATCTCTGTAATGAGAGCGCACGCGTTGACGGAGCTTTAATGCAATTACAATATACGGTGCGCTGTCACAGTCTGAATATCATGAAACTTGAGATTTAAATACACATCTTGACTGGATATATCTTCAATCCGTGTCTAATGTAAGTACAAAGTTTGAATTTCTCTTTGATGAAGCGAAAATGGGATTAAGTCGACATCGAAAGTCATTTCACCGAACTCGTTTCTCATTGAAATTCAGTTTTCGTTTCTTTTGTTCCAAATTTTTTTTTTTTTCTTTCTTTTTTTTCTACACCAGAATAAAAATATTCTTCTTTACGAACATACCAGACGTCGCGACAAAATCATTTATCTCGAGTCATTTATCGCTGTGGGCGACATACGTCCAATTAATGCACTTAAAGTGGTCACCGATGCGTTAATGACGCCTTTTCAACTTTTTAACACGATGCAATAAAGGATAAATTATATTTTTGGTGAAAATTCAGAAAAAAATCGACGATATTTTCGAATTTGTGAATACGTGTCCTCTATTGATGAATTCAAATAAAAAAATATAATACAGTTAATACATGAACAATATAAATTTAATTATATGCGGATATTTTTCTTGAAATATATTTTGGGGCAAGAAACAAATTTACTTTGAAGAAAGAAACAACAAGAAACTATTATAATATTCATAAATCAAAAATTATAATTACTGAAAAAAAAAAAATAAGATTATTTATTTTGCGACAATTTTTAACGCATTTGCTACTATCAGAAAAATAAACCTAAATTGATTGATATTAATGATAGACTTGTATTTGTAAATATTGTAATGAGTAATTTATAATGAAAAAATTTTTTAGAAAAAATTGTGTTGATAAAAGTATAATTTAGCCTTTGATTCTAATGAAATAAGATTTTTAATCAAGAATAGGTTATTCAAAACTTATAAACGAATTTTCGATTAACGTAGTTGATGTACCTAACCTCTACGTTATTCAACTGACAACTGCGTGTGTATGCATGACATAATTAAACAAGGGATAAACAGACTCATAGATCTAAATTGTTAAAGATTTGAAATAGTATAGGAAGTGTTTAATTAAGTTGTACTTTAATCTTGAAGGTGGAAACGATATATGTAAAACGACGAGAATATGCGAAGAGAATATTCTCGTAGAAGCAGACTAATTTTAGAATCTAGGATTCAATTTAAGAAAACAACGTGATATGTAGTATATATAAGTTTGCCGATATAAATTAACGAATAATTATGAACTCTTGTTCTTTTCTTTTTAAATATTATGGAAGCATTTAAATATTCTTAAATCAAAAAAATTCTTAAATATAAAATCTTAATATTTTTTCGTATTTGTAAATATTTTATTGCAAATAAAATTAAAAGAAAGAAAATGTTCAATGAATATTAATAACAACTGTCTACATTTCATCGTATACGTCAAAGAAACCTATATACATGGCATTTAATAACACATTTGAATTTAACATTGATCGTAATTGGTTTCAATCGAAAACGAAGAAAGTTTCATATAAGTCTTTAACACATCGTGAAAGTATCAACCGCGACATATAGTACTGGTGCAATGCATACGATTCCATAAAAATAACGGGACAAGATGATCTCACAGAAACTGGTTTTCCGGGGTACCGGTAATGTTAACTTCAACGATGGGGTTCCAAACTGTTCAGTAATCATAGAGATTATTGTCATGTTAAACATTGAGCACTTCTATTTGAATTTTACCAAACACAAGTCATCATCAGATTAATTGAACATAAATAAACGTAATATTTCTGAATAACGTTTTCATTCGATAATAAAAATTCCTAGTTATCCATGAGAAATGAATGAATTGTATAAAAGTTATGCTAAAGAAAAAATTTAAGGAATATATACGTTAAATGAGATAAAATAATCTGACAAGGTTATTTCTGATTCGCTCAACAGTACGAATAATACCATATCCAGAGAAAACGGAAGCAGAACAAGAACGACTTATTTATTGTCGTCGACAAAGTATAGTTTGTCGGATGATAATGTGCGTAAAACGACTCACTGTGAACGACAAGCGCGTGCTCGATGGTCGAATGCGTGAGATGCGTGAAATGCATTAGACCGCGTGGTACGCACGTGTTTAAAACCAGTTTCACGTGAATCTAATGGCTCCCGCGAAGCATATTTCCCATTGGAATGTCACCGATCGCAACTAATCTCAATCAATCGTTACAATGTCCTGTTTACGAATACGTTAGATCGTATAAATAAACATGAACGTATTAAAATTGCGAAAAGTAATATGTCGAATTTTTGCAAATATTTTTATCGATAGTTGGATTGCATGCGAAATAAAACGTGCTCTGCGACTCTCTCGTTACTCACCTCACGAAACAACAATTTAGTACAAGAATAATCAGTTGCGCACAGCATCGATTTTCATCATAATTCACGGAACGCAGTTGTTAATATTAAAATTTTATGCACACCGATTGATTCTAGGAGTTTCTTTATATCGTTATGGAACAAACTTGAATATTTTTTTTGGATAATTTAAAAAATATTCGTTAAATATAAATTTCCGAATAAAGTTCTATTGTTTTCATTGCTAGACAACGAAATGGAAAGACATTGTACTCTATAGACGATATCGACTATACGAATTTGAGGACCACTTAGCCTCGAAAGCGTCTGTAACTTGACAGTACTTCGAGTTAAGTGAGCAAAGTGAGGTTAAGTATCGATACAGCAGACGACAACTTGGCAAGAATTCTATACCTTGACGACCTAACTTTGAAGAAATATTCGAGGAACATGAGTCAAGAAGAAGAAATCTACGCGCATAAGAACATAGTTCATCTGTCTATTGCTTTTTATAATGCTTTCTATTGGTAAAGAATCGATCGGTACACGTAAATTGTAAATCTTCACTGGAAGATTCTCCTTTAATAGAAGAAATTGTCTAATTTTGTTCAATTAAGCTATTTCCCGGCTTGTAATTGGGTTCAATTTGTGGTAAAAATAAACAGAGCGAGTTGACAGCAGTGTTAGCAGGGTGGCACGAACGTGCGTAGGAGATCATCTCCAACCAAGCGGTTGCATGATCGTTTCCTTCTAGAAAAGCCATATTTCCCGCCAAAGGCCACTCAACGAACAAGTATACATAACTCACGCGGCTCTGGAATTATATAACTATTGTTGCACGAGTCGTAAATAAAGGCTACTTACCGCTGATCAAGGCGAAAAACGTCAGGACCGCGCGCACACACACACGTTACACTTCGCACTGCTTAAGACAAACTGCCGTGTCGTGGCGCTGATGCACATCGCCATCTTGGATCGATCAGTCGGCAGTAGCAGTCGAAAAGTGCGCTGATTTTGATTCTCGAATTCTTGTCATATTCGAATGACAGATGTGATGTCCGTTATAAAATCAAAGGTAAATAACAGAATAATATTTTCCGTTGCGATCATTATTTTCATTTAATCTGCACTAGATAAGTTGAAACACAAATAATAACAATCGACGCTCGATTCGCAATTATCGTTCATACATTGCATTCATTTATGAATATACACAATGATTCTATCATTTCGCAAGCTGCGCACATAATACAATGTATTATGCTGATAAATAAATAACATTAAAAATGTAATAGTACGCTCTATTCCTTTGGAAAAGTATAAAAACATAAGAGGTTGATAAGATAATAAATGCAAAGTTTATGAGTATGCCGAGCAACAATGCTAATAATAATTCATTATATATATTATCAATCGTAATTTTTCATACACATTTCAATTTTTACTTTTAAATTTATATTCACCACAATTTAATTCATATTTTTTTAAATAACACACTTCTTTCACATACATAATCTTCTTATATATATAATTTATTAGGATCATTGCCAATAATAATTAAATATTTCCTATAGCATGTAGAATTATATCATATATATACATATATATATATATATATATATATATACACACACATACACACACACACATATATATATATACACATATATTTTAAACATTAAATACTAATTTATATCTAAGATACTTTATCAAAGAATCACTACAATATGTATGATTTATGCACGTGCAAGCTTCTTTTTTTGCTTTGTATAGAAGTTTAATATATGCACAAGATTCTTTCGTTTTCTCTATGTGTTTTAGTAATTTCTAAAATTACCAATAAAAACGACTTATGTAATACTTAACAAATATTATAGTTTCACGCATCATCAAATTCTCACTTATAATTGCAGCTATTCAGTTGTGTCTATATGTTTCCTTTTGTAAGTATATTGCATCAATTCCACTTTTGCGATCACTATAAGAATTCTTAAAAATCGATATACACATAGCACTTAGACACACGTATTTTTAATTATGAGAATACTTATATCGAACTATATTCGTTTATATACTGCATTCTTAAGCATTCTTCAATAGTTTTAAGAGCAACTTTTATCGTGCCAAATATAAATTATGAAAGAGTTTCGTCCCATAGTCAAATCAAATTGTTTTAGAATCTTAAAAAGTATGCGCATTACGGCAAATACCACATCCAAGCGCAAATTCTTCACCAGTTGGTGGATGTTTAACGTGTAAAGGACATTCTTCCCCTTCGAGTTGTTTTGCTTTAGGTCCTATTTAAAAAATCATAGTTATGTATAGATATAGAACTGTAATATATATATATATATAGATATAGAATCATAATATATGTCATAATAAAAAAAGATAAGAAAAGAATACCTGCAGGACACGAAGGTAATTCACCCTTTGGAATGGTGGTGACTCGTTGGAAGTCGTCGTGGCAGGGGTTACAGAAATGTGTAGTTCCAAAGCAAAAGAAGACTGCCACCGAGCAACAATAACGACACTTATACTCTAGGAAGTCTGCTCCATGCTTCGGACACATCTGAGCCCTTGCCACGTCGCTACAACCTCCACAAACTAATTCTGTAGGATCGAACGTTTCTCCACCTACTTGTGCGTCGCATCGTGCTTCACCACCATAATAAGCTTTCTGACATTTGTAGCAAACATAATACGCATACCGTTCCATTGCGTATGCAGCAGGATCTTCATGATATCTTCCTCCTGGTCCAAATGTTGATTCCGCTCTGTAAAAGGTTATAATCATGTAAAAATGTAATCTTAATTACGTTTCTTAATATCCAGTATAAACTTGTGTTTACTTGTGCAATCCTTCGTATTCTAACCGCATTAAGGCCTTTCTTCTGACATCTTCATAAAGTTCCTTAATATTAGCCAATAGATCCGTCAATGTAGGATGTTCCATTGGAATTTTACAAATTGGACAAAGAGAAAATCCAAAAGTTATTCTAGGTCCCACCCATCTTTTCATTAAAACGTGTCTACAGCAATGCAAGTGGAAAACGTGTCCACATTGTAATTGAATCGCAGGTGCAGCAGATAGAGCTTCCGTAAAGCAAATCATGCACATATCATCAGCATCTTGCTTCAAATCACTGCCTGGTAAACATCTATGTAGGCAAGGTAGACAATTCTTTTCGTTTCGTACTCCTCCACAAATATGCCCACATACGTGTACTTTGCTGCACGCGTTTTTACTATGCTCTTGACAATCCTGATCTGCGCAAATATTTCCTACAGCTAGCAAACCTGTATTTCCAGTAGTACCGCAAAATCTGCAAATTCCAGATGTAGCACCAACGGGTTTTCTTGGCGAACCATCACGAAATTCCACTAACGCTTTTAACGTTCTACTATCGGCAAGCGCCAAAATCCAAAACAATTTTGTTCGCCCACATCCTTCATGAAGATCTACGCGTATCGCTTCTTCCTCCTCCTTGCAAACTTGTCTTATATGCATACGTGTTCTTCTATGTAAATGCAAAATTCTATCGCATTCCGAGCATAAATTTCCACAAACGTTACATTGAATAATTGCCGTTGTCTCGCCATCGTCGTGATTACTACACGTTGGCTAAATATACAAAATGTAGAAAATATATTGAATGTATATAAAAATGTGTACATAAAAATTGTTATTTTAAAATGATTAATATTCTTACTCTAGGGGGCGGCGGTTGTCCTTCAGTACCGCTCCATTGACCCGAAGACAACCTCTCAACATGATCGGAATCTAATACACACAAGGAAGAAAGGGCAAGCCATAAAGTTGGGGTTTTAAGACATTCAGTTGGATCACGGCTTCTTTCATCCAATCTGGTAAGATTTAAAATATTTTCCGCAATAGCTGCTTTAGTCACTGATGCCCATGCTTCTGATAATTTTCCCTACAAAGATATAAATAAATAATATACGATCGATCAAATTAATTTTAATCTCAAATTATTTATTTAATTTAATAATTTTAATTTAAATTATACATACCGATGCCATATCTTTTAAAAGTTGTATTATCACTTCAGCTAATTTTCTAGTCATACATCCTCTTAACCACCATCTTGTTCCAACTTGACTTTTTGGATGAATACTAGTAGCTAATGATACACTTTGCAAAGCTTTCCCATTGTTTTCTTTTCCTTTTACTTTAACTTGAACTGTGAGTGCCTTAGCAATACAACTTAAGAAAACGTCAAGAATTCCCGCGGAATGTTCATCAAATTCGGTATTATGAGAAAGACCATTATTTGCTGATATAATACTAAAATCTGTTGGCGGTAATCGTTTGACGCTAATGACATTAGCTAACACTTCTGGTTTAATTTCTGGTAAAATTCTCTTCAACAAAGATGTTACCTATCAATAATTGAAAATATTAGATTGAAAAGTCGCGATTTAAATACAAAATAATATAAAAATTTAGAAAATATGAAATGCATACTTGACGTTGCACTCTTGCCGATCCAGTATGTAACAAACTCAACAAATCTTTCAACAATCCATATTGATGCGATAGATAATATTGTCCTACTGAACTACCACTTAAGGCTAGTACCATGGATAACATTTCAAAGCAATACGCATCTGCTGCTTTAGGCAAATCGCTATTATCACTTAACAGGCTATTAGCAGGAGTCGGAGAACATAATAGCGTCTCCCATTCTTCTCTTAAACGAATGGTTTCTTTTTGAATAGCTTGAACAATGTGTGTACAAACTTGTTTTTGTAAATGGGTTAAATTGTTTCTACTGAATAAAATTCCAACCATGTGCTCGCGGAGATCATTACTATCTTCCAAGTCTTCGTTAGTTCCTTCCGTAGTGTCCATTTGTTGTTGTTGTTGTTCACCTTGTATAAGTTTGCCAAATACCTGACAAATAAAAGATACTTGTTGTAAAAATGTAATAAATTATGTTTCGAGGAATATATGTAATTAATTGTACCTGAGAAGTAATTAAACGGAATACTTTTAATGTTTCTGTTTCACAATTTCTTTGTTGAATCGTTTGGGCATTCAATTGTTTTTCAATTTTCAAAGATTCCCCTTCAATTTCACCTAAAATTCGTATCTGTCGTACTCGCAAAGAATTATCTGGGCCTTTCAATTTCAGACCGACAATAACATGACGTGGATCTAGAAGAAATGTAACAATGACGTTCACAATAGTTTCATATAATATAATCAAAAATATATTATACGATTTTACCAGTGACTGGGCAGTTAATCCATCCAGCGGAACGACTTTCAACTTCTACAGTTCTCAATTTGATCATTTCATCCACGTTATTACCCGACTGAAATGTAACACTAGATACTTTGTGCTGTAACATAAGTAAAATGAGTATAAAAACATCTTAAATGAATTATGAAAAATGAATTATGAAAATTCATTATGAAACTTACCGTTAGATCACGACAGTTATCAATATGAATGTACACCATTCGAGGAAGAGAATGAGCACCACAAATGATAGTTATCGTTTTTGTTTTATTTCGATCCTCGTCACCGGATTCCCAAAAAGTTTCCGTCGAATTATCAGTCAAGCTACCTATCATAGCTTGCCTACTCGATGCTTTAATTTCCACACCGCATGTTAAATCCTTCAAAACTTCCACACAACTATTAACTTGTTGAGAATGAATTGATTGATGACTTTCATGCATGCTCATTGTAATATCTTCCTCTTCTTCCGATCTTGAGAGTATTTTACTAATGTTACTAAAAACATGACTTCTGTGGAGGAACATATGATCTGCAGGTGTAAATTTAATGCCCCAACATCGAATGGCAGCTTGTTGCAAAGGAGAACCTAATAAAAATTAAAGTTTGCTATTTTTGTCCGTATAAAATAATATTATGTATAATATAATATTATAATATAAAAAACATACCAGGAGGTGGTAAAAGCATCAAGTCTGCTATAGTTTGCAATAAAGTATGAAAAACCGTTGGTAATGGATTAACAGATTCACCTGCTATGACAAGATCGCTTAGAGGATGTTCACATACGCCAATCATCTCCTAAAAAGTATAATATTTTATTGACAATATATTCTATATATTATCTATACTGAAAATGAAATATATTGAAAAATGAATTCGTAATAAGAAAATTCATTTATAATCGTAAAATGAAAGAATTTTTCAATGATATAAAAAGATTGTGTAAAGAGAGACAAATTTTTATATATAATAAATTTATAATAATAAATTTACATGATCATCCTTTTTATCAGTTTTATTGTCTTCTTCATTTGTGTCTGGAATATCAGGTGGTACCGTAGGTGTTAGGGATGCAATGAACCACCATAGTAAATCATGAAGGCAAATAGGTTGCGTCACACTTCTCAGCAACCAGTTTAACGCTTGCATCGCATAAACTCTACAAGCAGCACGTCTCAATGCTTGCTTCATTGCGAGTTGTAGATGTTGCAGATTATGTTGTTGTAGGACAAAAAGCATCACAGGCCTCATAAGAATTTCTATTCTATCGTTAGTCGTGACTTCTTCCTCTTGATTCGTTGAGACAATTGCCGATTGATTCATCGATGGTACTAATTTTTGTAGGGCTGCAGAAGGGTAACACAGAAGAGATGATCCGGCATCTACGATAAAAGAAAGAAATATACGAAGTATATCTAGCGCCATTGCTATTTCTCACCGAGTCCAAACGTATGTAATTAACATTCAATTATTTACAAACCAGTGTTCATTTCGCTGCTACTATTGTTTCGTTTTCTCATCATGACAACTCTACCATCGTTCGAATTCCTAGTCCATGGGGCGCCAGTGGACATCGATACCGACCGATGAAATATCCCACGACCTTTACCACCTTCCCCGTCGCTGTCGCTCATAGGGCATTCCGACAAAGGCTGGACGAAGAAAGGGGAAAAAAAAAACTTTGTTCGGATAAATGATGCTCGCTACAAACGATATAATACAATAAATTCCTTACCCTTCCGTTCGCAGTGTTGGCCATCGCATTGCCCTCGTACGCATTTTGATGTCCGTTTTGACGTCTCAACGTCTCCTCGTAATATCTCTCGTCGTGACTTTGCGAATGATGAACTCCCAACGCTTGCAAACACTGAAACGGCCCAGTCGGTGGAAACGGTCCAGCTGCTTCCGGTGGACTGTAATTTTCTGCCACGGACGACAGCGTTTGGGAAGGGCGCCTCTGCTGCTTTGGAATATTCAATCCGGACGCACTAGCCAAGTCTAAGAGAAACATAGCATTGTTCTTCATAATTATGTGCGTTTCGTTCCCGGTGGGACTACTAACTGGTGACGCAACTTTGGCAGAGGCATTCTTCTTCTTCGTCATTCCTGTTAAGAATTTTTTCGCGAGCTTCAATTTTCGAGCTCGCAAATACTTATCGCGACACGTATCGCAGATAAGGTACCACGAACTTCCACCGATACCACCGTCCCCGCAATTCCCCGCCCAACCTATGCAATAGTTCCCTCCGCTGTTGTACCCTTTCCCGCCCGCATGCCATCCGCAACCAGGATGCATCATTTTCATATGATATGTCACTGGATGCGGAAACATCATACCGCACAATTCGCAAATCGTTTCACGCTCTATCCCTCCCAACACCTCGCTCCCGTTCCCTCTACCGACCGGTTTCCACTCCTTCTTCTTTCTACTGTTCTTCTTCTCGCGCTCCTTCGCCTTGTCCTCCCGCGGCCGTTTCTCCGGCCGCTTCCCCAACTTCATCGTCTGTATCTGCGAGATCGGGCTCGGCAGAACCGATCGTTGCTCTATCGTTTGAAGGCAGTTGGTGCTCAGTTCCTCCCACAAGAACACCAGACTCTTAAGAGCCGGCGGCAGTACAGCCACCGTTTGAAATTCCGGCAGAGAGTCCAGTTTCGGGTTTTCTTGAACCTCCTCCTTTATCACCGTTTTCTGCTTCTTGCGATTCCTGTTCGCGTTGGCGTTCGCCGCGGACCGCGTCAAAGCCTCGACCGTGCTCGGCTGTATGTACAAGTAATTGCCGGCGTTGATCACCTCGACCGAGTGCCTCTGCCGCGCTTTCTGCTCCTGCCTCTGTTTGTCCGTCGTTTGTATCACCGGCTGCCTCGTAACGACGAGGGCGCCCTGCTTCGGCAAGCCGGGATGAAACTTGAGGAAGCTGGCGCAAGCCATCGCGTCGTGCACGATTCCTTCGTGCCAGAGGAAGGCCGCGAACACGGCTCTCAAACACTCGGCCACCGATGGACTGATAGCTTCCTTCACCTTGTCTTTGTTCAGATTCAACGTTCGATTCGTATTCGTATTCTGCTGGCTGTTGGTCGGGGACATGGTGCGTTTCGTCCTCGTCTTCGTTATTTTAGCGTGATCCCTTCTGGCCAACTTCCCCCCGTCTTTCGGCCCGGTCGAGCCAATGTTGAAGTGTCCTTTCATAGCCGTGGTCGCGCTGTCCGGGCTCGTTTGCGTTTGCGCCTGCGAAACTCTCTTCGGACTTTCTTGCGAATCCTTCCACGAGAAATGAACGAAATGAATTTAATTTTAACCTCGATATATACTTTTTACCTTTTAGATTTTCGATCGACGAAATAGAATAGAGAAGAGGACGTGTCTGATCGCTCGCTTACCCCGACGACTTCTTGCTTCGGTGTATCGGGTGGACTGGCTATACTACCCTCGGATCTCATGTGCAAAGAGCTACAACTTGGGCTTGGCGAGAGGTCGCGAGTATTGGCAGTTGTGCTGACAGCGCTCGGAGATTGCGAAGGATCCCTAGTTAGACTACTGACCAAGGCACTTGTATCGCTTTGCGTCGATCCCCGTCGCTGCGACCTCTCGCTGTCTATCATCCCACCAGAAACTTGAAAGAGAAACATCAAATCTCGATAAGCTATTTCGAACTTTCACAATCTCAATTTTTATTCCACCTTTCACATATGTATACGTATATGTGTGTGTGTATGTATATATATATATATATATATAAAGATGTAACATTCGCATAAACTTCGTGCAATTATGTAATTTCGTGCCGCGAACGAATGAAATTGGCGAACGAAGTTGCAACGGATTTGCGAATCGAGCAATCTATACGATAAATAATGATTCGAAAAGTAATGGTAACCGATTCAATTTCGTCTGGTGTAAAAATTTATATATAGGAGTATATATTACGTGTGTTGTTATCCTTACCTAATGGGGAGAGGCCGACACTTCGGGGGGAGCCACAGAGCACAGGGCTGCTGCTGATACTATCTCCCCCTCCTATCAAACTTCTCCCACCTGATAATTTTTGGATCAATTGTAGAATTGTTATATGTAACGTGTTAACGATTTATTAACTAAAGTCTAGACTCACTGTCTGCATATACTCATGTGCACTATACGACTTTCTATATCTCCAATGGACAAAGGTAAAACGTTGTATTTTGTACGTGCAAGAAAACTGATTATTCATGTTGTCATTGTGTTTAAATAATATATATATATATGATATCATCCGCATGCATTTGAATCTTATGGTATAGTCGCACACATCAACAAGGAGATAAGGTGCTAATTGTACGTTTCTTGAAAAATATTGTAAAGTGTAAGGAAAATAAATGGCGAACAACATTAAACATGTATACGCTATGTATATACCTATATGTATATACTATATATATATATGTGTGTATATATGTATCATTAACAGAATGAGGGTTATGTCGAGTAGGAAAGGAACGAGTACCTGGTGCATGAGCAGCAGGAGGGAAGAGGCAATTACCAGAACCAACTGGCTGCCGACTGGACCCAGCTAAGAGCAACATTACTATTCTGTTATAACTAATCCGACAATAAAAAAATCTTATATTTAATATCCTAAGGTTCGTTCGTCGACTAAGGTTAATTAATAAGATTGAAAAGTGTGTGACTTATTCAAACTTAATGGTTTCGTTCTAACAAGTATAATCCGTTTCGGTCGGAGTGGTTATCGCTATATAATCTTACGAGTATCGTTATCGGGTCTCTCAGCTTCTGAAACGATTCCCTCTCCTCGGACCAGTTACGGTGCCAAAAGTGTGAAGTAAGACACACGCATGAACGAATGAGATTAAGAATGAGAGATCACGAGTTAAAAAAAAGAAGAGAAAAAAAAAAAAAAGAAAAAATAAGTAAAGACCTTGTCGTAGAGAGTATTTCGAGCGATTTTCGAGTGTTTCGAAAATAGCGTGGTATACGTACCGGGTATCGGAACCGGGCTAGAGGACGGGCTGTGAAATCTTGGTGACCCACCTTGGGGATTCTTGGGCGACGAACTTCTCGACAATCTCCTCGGGGTCTCCGGTGGCGTGGGCCCGTTACCGTTCGCCCGACTCTCCCCTATCGCCTTCACCAATTCCTTCACGGACACGCCCACGAATTCCGAGAAATCTCTACAAATGGCAAAACTATATAACGAAAACTATATAATCTCACTGCGCGCTCGTCTCCCCCTCTCCACTCACTTGCCGGGTGAACTTCTTTTCTCTCCGTGACACTTGTCGTCGCCTCTCAACCACTTCTGCAGCACGCTCAATTTCCCGCCGCCCCCCTCTCTCTCCCTCTCCTTCACCACCCTCTCCTTCGAATGGGCCTTGGAGAACTTGGGCGAGACGTCGGCCTTCTCCGGTGTGAATCTGTCGCTCCCTGAAGAAGCGTGCGACCAAAGAAATGAGCAACGTATGTAAATACACCGCGGGAGGGGAAATCCGCATCATGCTTTTACGCAATGATACCTGGTGAATCGTGTTGGTTGTACGAACCAAAAACGAATGGATTTGTATTACTACCCTCTCCACAGTCTGCTGTACCTGGTGTTAAATTTTGAGCGGTGAAATTGAAGCCCTCGTGACTCACGGAAGGCACGGAAAAATCGAAACCTTTGTGATTAGGCGAGAGGGACGGATCTGCCGCTTTCCTATCCGTCGGATCGTTCTCCGTGTCTTGCTCGATCTTCATGTAAGTGACGCCGTGCTTGCTCGCAGCCAGGGACCAAGCCTCGCCCTCGGCCACCCGACCTTTCCGGAAACAGTACTTGGCCATCGACTCGTCGTCCATGCGTACCCACGTACCCTCGCCGTTCACGAACTGCCGCAGTGACGATACAATATCACGATCGATGTATATTTCGAACGACGTTCTTCATCTTTATCGACGATAAAGATGAGAGAGTACTCACGTATTCTTGAATAGTGACCACGTTTCCAAGCGCCAATTTCCCAACCGGTGCCGCATTCAATCCCGGCCTACTTCTAATATTGTGACCGGAAGCGCCGCACTTTACGACCACCATGTTCCTACCACCGTCGAACGTGACCGTCTTCCTTTTACTGAAACGATAAACGCAATATCGCGGGTTACGAAATCACACGTGTTTAAACACACGTTCAACATCGTGGTTTGCATTCCCATACTCGTCAATTATTTCCGGCCTTTTCCGTAATATCGTCTCCTTGATCACTTGATCCAAGATAGATTTAGGTTCCTCGACGGGAAGGAGCAACGTTTTCCCCAAATGCTGATTGTATTGCAAGCACCAAGCTTCCAGATGGCTGCTGTTGCAATACTCCTTGATCGTTTCAGCGTTCAGTCGTAGCCAAACGCCGTCGTCGTTGTGAATCTAAAGAAAACGAACGATAATCTTTCTCGACGAAGGTACGGAGTGGATAGATTTCGAGAAAACGAGATTACCTCGTCTATGAAGGCTATGGTATCGTTAACCAAAACGATGCCAATTTGCTCGCTTTGAAGAGACGGATGCGCCCTTATCCTCAAGCCAGCGCTGTTCTTCGCCACGAATTTTCTAAGCCTGCTCGGTTGATGTTGCGGTTTCTTCACAACGTTTTGAGTGGGCGGTTGCATACCTTGCGGCGATTCCTTCACCTCAACCTTGTATTTCTGCGAAAGAGATCGACGAGTTATTATTATTAAAGTAAAAAAAAGATGGCGAGCTACGGAATCAAAGGATAAATATTTACATCTTCCATGTCGTATCCGTCTATAGTGATGACGAGCGAATACCATCCGACGGACGACGGTGTCCAGGCCGCGCTATAGCTTCCATCGTCGTTCGGCCTAACCAGCATGCTTTCGCTCGTTCTTTTTATAGCCGGTGACATAAACCTCAACTCCTCGAACGAATAGTTTTGATAAGCCTTCATGATCGTAATCGCGTAGAAGCACGTCTTGTTGTTGATCGTGACCTCGTACGGCACGTCCACCGGTGGCTGAGGATGACCGCCGAACGTGAACGGGTCGGGTTGAGAAACCCGTTCCGAATCTCCCAAGTCTTTTTTCTCTATAGGAACTGCCTTCACTTCCACCTGAAAATGGAATGGTTAAATTAGAACACGATAATATTATCGAATTAATCAACGATTATATCGTGTGTGTATATATATATATACCTTTAAATTAGGTACATGAACGATATCCCCGTACTGATCTCTGGTGTGTACAGTGACGATGGCGGGGCATCCGCACTTCATGTCGTCCTTCGAGTAGAGCGCCTCGCATTTCGAGGGATCTACGAAACTGTCTGGCTGCAACCATCTTGCCAAACGACCTCCGCTGCTGCCAGCCGTGCAAGATACGAAGTCTCGGAGAAACAGTCGTTCGTTCGAGTGACCACTGCGAACAAGAAGAAAAAAGAAAAAAGAAAAATTCACTCGAAAATTTTATTTTATCCCTTATCCATTCTCTTGTTCGAAAGAAAGACTTCGAAGATCATCAAATTATAATCAAATTTCTGCGATTCCACTTGTTTCGAGACAAGTTGGAAAGAAAGAAAGGAGGAGAGAAACGATAACGATAAATATTCGTTCGGTCGGATCATGATCGCTGTTAGAACGAGTTTCGAAATTGCGATGGCCCTAATTGACGATCCGTTTCACGGATCTCGGCTGGATATGCGTGGAGGCAGAGGACGATGCTCCTCCGCCAGCCAGACAATCGCCGTTTTCCCCCGGCCAGTCATCTCATCCCTAATAAGGAGCAATCACGTCGCAATTCCGTCCACCGTGACCCGCCTCTCGTGTCCCCGCTGTACTACCTATACGCGATCGTTACCTCACCGATTTCGTTCCCAACGACTTCTTCGAGAGCCTGGGTTTATACGCTCGGTTACTTTCAAAGAAGCCAATGTAACCAAACCGGTATCGGGCAACACGCTCGCCGCGGATTTGATCGAAACTCGCCTCGGCGAAGAAATTATATTCGCCTCGTTCGAGTCGTCGTCCCTAACTCGTTCACCGGACAACCTTTTTTAATTCTCGAACAACGAGTTATCTTGGATGCTTTACGAACAAGTAACTCGTTGGACAATCGAAACGTCATCGATTCGATAAATTTTTAAATCCTTCATTCTAAAAATTCTTCAAAAATCGGAATTTTCCTGAATTAGAACAGTTTCCATGATGAAATTGGGAAAATTCTAGATTCCTAAAGTTTTCGTCGACATTGTTTTAAAAATCGGAATTTTCTTAGAATTACAGCGTCCATCGATGAAATTAGGAAAAGTCTAGATTTCTAAATCCTTCGTCGACATTCTTAAAAATCGAAATTTTCTTAGAATTACAGCATCCATCGATGAAATTGGGAAAATTCTAGATTTCTAAATCCTTCGTCGACATTCTTAAAAATCGGAATTTTCTTAGAATTATAGCGTCCATCGATGAAGTTAGGAAAAGTCTAGATTTCTAAATCCTTCGTCGACATTCTTAAAAATCGGAATTTTCATCCAATTACAGTGTCCATCGATGAAATTAGGAAAATTCTAGATTTCTAAATCCTTCATCTCTAAAAATCGGAATTTTCCTAGAATTAGTATTCATCGATGAAATTGGGAAAATTCTAGATTTCTAAATCTTTCATCCCTAAAAATCGGAATTTTCCTAGAATTAGTATTCACCGATGAAATTGGGAAAATTCTAAATTTCTAAATCCTTCGACATTCTTAAAATTCTAGATATAGAGTCCCAAATCCTTGGTCGACATCGTTTTAAAAATCGAAATTTTTATCCAATTACAGTGTCCATCGATGAAATTAGGAAAATTCTAGATTCCTAAATTTTTCGTCATCGTTTTAAAAATCGGAATTTTCGTCCAATTACAGTGTTCATCGATGAAATTGAGAAAATTCTAGATTCCTAAATTTTTCGTCGACATCGTTTTAAAAATCGGAATTTTCTTAGAATTACAGTGTTCATCGATGAAATTGGGAAAATTCTAGATTTCTAAATCCTTCATCCCTAAAAATCGGAATTTTCCTAGAATTAGTGTTCATCGATGAAATTGGGAAAATTCTAAATTTCTAAATCCTTCATCTCTAAAAATCGGAATTTTCAAACTACAGCGTCCATCGATGAAATTGGGAAAATTCTAGATATAGAGTCCCAAATCCTTGGTCGACATCGTTTTAAAAATCGTTTTAAAAATTTTCGTAGAACTACATCAGGGATGGACGGAATTAAATAGGAAACAGGTAGAAGATCGGATTGATTCGTCATAGTTGTCGATAGTCCGCCGACACTCGGATCGTGAAATATCCTTGACGGGAGGTGTCGTTTTACGAGATCCACGTCGAGTAATACGAGACAGGAGGAAGGAGATCGATGGAAGGAACGTGAAACGAAATGGAAGCGGGAAGGGGATGGAGGATCGGTCGGCTTTAAGGTCGGCACCGATGTGACGTGGGGGGCGCGTGGTCATTTCGGAAATGGCCACTTCGGATGGCGTCAGGTGGTGCCTGGTTCGAGAAGAGAGCGTTATGAATGAATGAATGGACGTTCCGCGTCGTGTGTGACGTGGACGCGACGGGACGGCAACGAGGGCAAAGTTGCGCAAGACACGTGCAATTTCTCATGGGAAATTAAATGGGCGGCCCTTTGGCTCGTAAAGCGAGCGCGGCCACGATGCCGTGCCATTTTAGGGAAACGCTGTCCATCGTGAAAAGCGACTGTGAAAAGTGGCTGGCTGGCTGGCTGGCTGGCCGGCTCGTCTCGTTTTTACGCTAGCCTGCCTCTGCGTCTTTCGCGTTAGATTTCCAGTTTCCTGCAAACAACTCATAAAATACGCGCATTTCGCTCTTTCACGGCTTACGTTGCGCACTTTTCTATCTTTCCCCCTCCCCACGGATTTTTTGCGAGGATGTTATAAAATTTGCCAAGTTTAAATTAAAGGACTGGTGGAACGAATGGCGGAATGTCTCGAAAATTTCAGAGAAAGGAAAGTCGCTCGAAATTTTCGAACTTTCAAGCGTGTACCGAATAGAAAAATTATTCCGACGTTTCGTCAGAAAAGGAATAACGTAGTATTTTGGAACGATCATTTATAATTATTAACGATGCTTTTTCTCTTTTTATTACATATGAAAACAATCTCATTTTTTTTCAATTTAGACTAAATTCTAATTTCTTATCGCAAATATCGATGGATCGTTACGCGATTTGTAACAAATTCACCGATTACTGGCACGATACGATTCACGGACGACGAAGATAAAAAAAGAGCGATCGATTTGTCCTTCCGAGTCAAATCGATCACAATAACGCGGGGAGAAACCACAGAGGATACGGACGAAGAATATCGATGGTTCGTGAACAGGTACGTACGATCACTCTCTCTCCCTCTCTCTCTCCCAAGCGTAACCCTGGCTCGAAAAAAGCGCACAACACAAACGCGTTGTTACGTAAACGCGGCGACGAGGTGACGAGGATTCGTGATCCGCGATGGACGAAGAGCGGCGTAAAACTCGGTCAAGGTCAGCCCTTGAAGGAAGGCACCGACCGAGCGCGCCGATCCTACGACCCGCTCGCAAACCGGTGCGCCTCGAGAGGAGGATTTGCTCCTCCGTTGGCTCCTCCGTGAAGAGGACAGAATCTGGTCGAACGAGTGCGGCCGAATGTCGGCTCGTCCCTCACGCGCCCTGCCACCGCGCTCTTTTATCTTTTAAAAGGTCGAAGAGGGAGAATAAACGCGAGAGCGAGGCAAAGTAAGGAACACGGTTGTTGGTGGGGAGGAGACACTGATCGTGCATGCCACCGACCACAGTTTGAAAGCAACCTTCGTCATGATCGCGTCAGCCTGCCTCTAGTTGCCCCACCTCTTCGGAAAGCCGAGCCGTCCGCGCGCGTCTTTCTACGCTATATATCTCGCGGTGGACACATCGACTCGACCAGTTTTCCGTCCCACGTTTTCTCATCTTTCTCTCATCCAGCCGAGCATGCCGTACGAAAAAACCAGCCCGGTGCCTGGTTTTCGCTGAGGAAAAATTCGCGACGACGATTTGGAAGAGAATCGGATCACCGACCGTTTCCAAGTATCCGATCGAAGGATTCGCGGCTTTTGTTCGAATCGAGAAGTACGCGACCCGTTGGATCGGGGATATTCGAATTTCGGGACAAATGTGAGCGATTGGAGAGGGAAGAGGAAGAGGGATCGAGATCCAGATGAAAGTGGGGCACGAGCCTAACGGTGTGCCGTGAACGATGTGAGGAAAGATCCCCGGGTGGAAGAATCGAAGGCGATCGATCCGGGTGGAACACAAGGCGGCCTTTTGTTCGCCGGTGGAAGATCGAGGGTGGTGGATCGCCGATAACGATGAGCGGAGGGAGGAGAGTGCGGCCGAACGGGCCGAAGCGTGATCGTGCGATGGTATGGTCGGTGTCTCTGTGCTGTTTAGTATTTCTGGTTGGCAAGGTGGAGAGTGCACCGCCCGGGATATGCGCGATGGACGGCTGCAACTGCACCGTCAAGGCACACCGTTGGATTAACGTCAAATGCGTCTTCTCCAACGACCAGGTGAATCACCACGCAACTACCCCTTTTTCCTCGCGATTTCATAGTAGTAGTAGTGTACGCGAAACGGTGCGCGCAACGTTTGCCGTTTCGATTCACGACCGCCATGATAACGAACGCTGGAAACGTGCGACGCAAATGCGCGCCCGATGACTAACTCTCTCCTCCTCGCCTTCCCAACCTCGCGTCTTATAACTTAGCATCTCCCGTTACGATCTTTCTTGCGCGATCTAAAAATGGAGGCTCTTAGCGGTGCCACGCTCTAGCCGAATAGCGCGCACTCAGTTTCTTCTTCTTCTTCTTCTTCTTCTCCTTCTTCTTCGTATCGCTTCTTCCATCGAGGGAACAAAGGTTATTCTTCGAAAATTACCAACGATCGTTTATAAAATTTCTAACGAGCGATTTCAAAGTTCGGTTTGTTTACACGGTGGTGGATCTTTCTTTCGAGGAGAATTATCGAAGAAAATCGTTCGGAGGTGAAACGTTCGCCTCAATTCTCGACTCTGGAAACGGTGAAAGTTTTCGCCACGGAGAGAGATTCCGTTCGAATCCCAGCGTGACAAATCGTTGGACCCGTGTGAACGTGGCGGTGGGAATTAATTCGTTACGAGCGCACTTTTGCCTTGTTATTTCCACTCGGTCGTTCCCGTCTCGGTTGGACGCGATCCAACCGATCCACCCGATCGTATTAACCGTGCGTCGTATCGCGGCGCACCTTTCCGCCAACCAACCGGTTCCCTCTCGCCTTCAATCGAGAAACTTCCGCGAGAAACTTGGCAATCGAGTTGGAACTCGATGCACCGGCTGCTGACCGGATAACGAATTGCTATTGTTGTTGGAAGGGACGCCGTGTTTTCCACCGGTGATCAAAACATTCGACTCTCGAAAATCGATCGATCGACCGATCGATGAATGGCTCGTGAAAAATTTCGCTCGTGCAAATGGAATTCGATTACGTTGAACATTCAAGGGTGATTCGTACGCGATATCGACTCGTGAAACTCGATTTCCTAAGAATTTTCCAGGATTTTATTCGCGAAACGAATCGTAGATGACTCGAAAAAAAAAAAGAAGATCGCTCGTAGGACGGTAATAACCCGTAATAACGGAATTAACGACGGTCTAGATTTCTAAAGTCGATATGTCGGGTTAAGTATCGATGCAACGTTACGCTTCTCGACTTCGAACTGGGCCCCCGTTTATACCCTATCTTCGCGTCGATCTGAGAACTGCGTGGAAAACGCAAGGATAACCAGTTTTACGTAACGTTTGGCTTGGCAAAAATATTTTTCACGCTTCGTTAACAATTTCTAGAATATCCGTTCATTCCTATTAAACGACGGGAAAAATTTCTCAAAATCTTCATTTTTCAAAATCCTTTCGTTTATTATTATTATTATTATTATTGTTATTATTAGATTTAATTTAATATATCGCGTCGTTATCTTTTTTTTTTTTTTTTTTTTCTTGCCATCGTAACGGGCTCTGTGAACCGGCTATCAAGCCGACTACGTTTCGTATCATTGAAAGTAATTTCTGTCGATCCGACAAACGCCTGACGCGACACGCGTAGGCGTGACACGCATTGCAATGTATACCGGGTGTTGTCTTTAATCGTGGACGAATAAAGAAACGAATCGTCGATCGATCTTTTTTCCCTTTGTATTCATCGCGTTCGGGAGAAGGGGGGAAAGAGAAGGGGAGAGAGAGAGAAAGAGAGAGAGAGAGAGAGAGAGAGGCCGTATACGATATTCCATCCCCGGTTCAACGACACCTCTACCACGAGTTCGTCCACGAAATATATTCTTCCTAATCGAATCAGATCCAGCCACGACGTCACTTATCGTTCCAACGTCGTTAATTCTATTTACAAAGCTCCTGTGATCGCGTTAAACGATCGCGTTAAGCTTTCTTCTAATGGTGCGCTTCGGGCGGAGAGATGATCGATTCCAGGATGAATGAATGAATGAAATTCCAATCCCGTTGGACGGTTGCGTCATAACTGCCTTCGCACTGGGCAATTTGTTTGCAGTTGCAGTTGCATCACTCCTCGAATCACGTCGATCCAAGTCTCGCTTTCAACCTCGCTTAAAATCTAAAACCCCTTTCCTTTCTTTTTCCTTTCTTTTTCCTTCTTAGATCCGATCTATTCCAACGAGCTCCCTGCGTCCCGAATACGAATCTCGGGATTCCCGATTCCGGAAACGGATAACGGGAAAAGGTATCGGGAATATTTTCTCCACGAGAACGAGACAACGATCGGAGTCGGTTGAACGCGAACAGAGGAAACTCGTGGCACGAATACCCCTCTCTCTCTCTCTCTTTCTCTCTCGTTTATACACTCGTGGCGAGGTAAGGGGCGAGCCCCGTTCGTAGATGGCCGCGATAGGTCCCACCACGAAATCGTTCGCCTAAACCTAGTCGGCTTCCGGCGTGCGCGACTTCCGGCCGAAGGGTTGACCGAGCTCTCCAAGTCGATCGCGCGGAGGGGGGAAGGAGGGACGCGTGCATTTCCTCTCCGCGCCTCGCCGCGCACGTTCTTCATTCTTCTCTCATCAGACTTTATAAAGCCCTCCTCCCCCGATTCGCCTCCCGTTACGGATTTGAAAAATCGCCGATTAACCTTATCGCGGTGCTGGTGTACACTGGCCGGGACGTTGACCGTAAATTGGCGCGGCGCAACGATTCCAGTTATGGAGTATATTGGCGGACCTTGCCTTCTCCTTCTCGCGATAAACGTTCCCTCCGGCGAATGTTTCGAATTCAATCGCTCGCCGAACCACGCTCGATTAATAATATTTGCAGTCAACGCCGATTATAATCTCCATCCAAACTTTCCCCCGTATTTTCGAAACGGTGTGCGAAAGACAATAACCGATTCGTACGATCCAGCAGGGAAAAGATCGAGCAGAATAAAATTGTAGATGGGTTGAACAGCGCGAAGCGTATCTAGCCGGTTAATCGTTGTCGTGTTCGAACGCGATTCCTGAAAATGGGAAGTTCGTAATTCCATCCCATTTTGGGATGGAATCCGTGCGACAATGACAATAACAATGAGAAGAATAATTGGTGGGGATAGGAAGAACACCTCGCCGCGGTTCCCTTTTGTATATCGGGGCGTCGGTCGTCGAACGCGGTCGTCGGTTGGATTAATAAATTGACGGGGTGCCGGAGGGAGGGGCCGCGGTGGGAATTTCATCCGTACAAAACGGACCACGCGAGAGAACACCGCGAGAGAAGCTCGGGCTCTGACCGCTACCCAATCCTTGCTCCGCCTCAATTTATTCACAATAGGCTCTTTCAACGAATTACACTTCGGTCCACGACGAATCTCTGGGTGTTACCGACCCAGTCGACGTGCGGTAATCATGCGGGCGCGTTGTGTCGCGCCACACGAGGGGGAAAAAATTATTACGGGTTTATCGTCGTTTATCGTCCGGATGGCGCTCACCCCCGCCCCACCTTTTCTTCCTCCGATCGACGCACGAATGTTTTAACACCCTTCCACTCTCTCTCTCTTTTTCTTTCTCGAATTCATCGAGAAGGAAAGGAAGAAAAAGGAAAGGAGATAGACAAATGAACGATCTCGTCGATCTTCCCCTGTTTCAAATCGACGCGATGATGGCCGAGAATTTCGAAGGAAATCCTCGATGTTGAATTGAGCCGATTAATTGAGCAGGATTCGATAACCTAATAAACGACGTGGATAGAAATCGTAGTACGCAGCGTATTATGAGGTGTATCTTCGTAGAGCAGATATATTACTTTAGAACTCTTTTTTTATTTATCGAGAAAAAGAAATGAAGAAGGAGAGGAGATAGATGAACGATCTCGTCGATCTTCCCCGTTTCAAATCGACGCGATGATGGCCGAGATCGAAGGAAATCGTCGATGAATTGAACTGATTAATTGAGCAGGATTCGATAACCTAATAAACGACGTGGATAGAGATTGCGGCACGCAATATATTATGAGCCAGTGTATCCTCGCAGAGATAGATATATTATTTTAGAACCCTTTTTTTTCGAATTTATCGAGAGAAAGAAACGAAGAAGGAGAGATAGACAAATGAACGATCTCGTCGATCGACGATCTTCCGCGATGATGGCCGAGATCGAAGGAAATCCTCGATGCTGAATTGAGCTAGTTAACGCAGGACCAACTTCGATAACCTAATAAACGACGTGGATAGAGATTGTAGCACGCAGCGTATTATGACGTGTATCTTCGTAGAGCAGATATATTACTTTTTTTATTTATCGAACCTTTTTATTATAGAACCCTTTTTTTATTTATCGAGAAAAAGAAACGAAGAAGGAGAGGAGATGGATGAACGATCTCGTCGATCGACGATCTTCCGCGATGATGGTCGAGATCGAAGGAAATCCTCGATGCTGAATTGAGCCGATTAATTGAGCAGGATTCGATAATCTAATAAACGACGTGGATAGAGAATGCAGCACGCAGTGTATTATGAGCCAGTGTATCCTCGCAAAGATAGATATATTATTTTTCGAATTTATATTTATATATTTTTCGAATACCTTTTTTTTCGAATTTATCGAGAGAAAGAAACGAAGAAGGAGAGATAGACAAATGAACGATCTCGTCGATCGACGATCTTCCGCGATGATGGCCGAGATCGAAGGAAATCCTCGATGCTGAATTGAGCTAGTTAACGCAGGACCAACTTCGATAACCTAATAAACGGCGCGGATAGAGATTGCGGCACGCAGCGTATTATGAGCCGGTGTATCCCCGCAGGGCAGATATATTATTTTAGGACAGGGCACGGCGCACAATACGTGCACGCGCATCTGGCCCGATTGCGGTTTGCCCGGCTTTGTCTGGAGAATTCGCTCGGGGGCGTAGATATAGCCGACATCCTGCTTCGTTCATTCCCGACGATAATTCTCTGTAACACCCCGCGAGCACACTCGAGTTATCGCGATTGGCCACACGTGCGAAGTGGCCCATCCAGCCATTCCACTCTCTCTCTCTCT